CGAGGCGCTGGCCCCAGGGTGCTGCTCCGAGGGGATCTCACCGCTTTTCCACATCTTCTTGAATTTGGATCGGCGGTTCTGGAACCAGATTTTGACCTTTGTGGAAAAGGGACCCGAGCGTTAGTGGAAGACACTGGGCACCGGGCAGGGAAGGGGAGGAAGCGAAGACAGACCAACAGCAATAGGTGGAGACCGGGCACCCTGGGCACGTAGGGGGGTCGCGCGAGACGGCCAGGGAGGCTGCGACGATTCCCTGCGCCGTGGGACAGCATCTCAAAAAGCCGGGGACAGGCGGCGTGTGCGCTGTGTTGGTGTTCACAGCGGGAGGAGGTCAGAAGGGCCAATTATTTTACCCGCTTAATCGGTAGCACAGAGAAAGGACGTGGTTCCAGATTTCTGCCCACCCTGTCCTTACTCTGAGAGATTTCAGCTGCGAGTGTAGAAGTTCAGGCCTCTCAAGGAGCGGGCCTCAAAAATCCTTAATATTATTTTTAATGCATATATATATTTTAAAACATTGTCCTTAACCGGCCTTCCGCCCAGCCATCCCAGACCTGCGCTCTCCTGGTCCATCTTCCGCCCCCCGCCCCCCAGCCGCGAGCCCTCACCTGAGTCTGGGTGAGGCCCAGAGACGCGGCCAGCTCGGCTCGCTCGGGCAGCGCCAGGTATTGAGTCTTTTGGAAACGCCGCTGAAGAGCCGCCAGTTGGAAACTGGAGTAGATGGTGCGGGGTTTCCGGACTTTCTTTGGCTTCCCGTTCACTATCCGAATTTCAGGCTCGAGGTCCTCTTTCTCTGCAACGATACGGAATCGTGAGAATCGCGCAACCGGGGCGCCCGAGATTCCCCACCCGCAGAGCGGCCCGCGGTGGGACTTGGCCGGAGCCGGGAGGCGGATTCTCAGGCGCAACTTCGCGAGGCGCGCACCGGCGCAGCCGCGGGACCCGCGAGCTGGGCCCGCCAGCGAAGGGGAAGATAGGCGCATACTGGAGAGAAAGAAGGAGCAGGCGGCAAGGTAATGACGTTACTAGGAGGCATGCACCGGTCCGGCGGGTGAGCACCAAGGGACCAGGGACGTACCCAATGACCCTCGGCCACTGGAGGTTGAGAATGGTGAAGGCGACGGACGGGCGCGGAGCAGGTAGTGTGAAAGGCCAGGGCTCCAGAAAGATCCCCGCCCCAAACATTTTTATCCCACCCATCGCAGTAGCTAAACCAACTTGGCACCCTTGACGCCAGCGTTACGCTTACCAGGTTCGTTGTTGGCAGGAGACGAGCTGGTCCCGTAGGGCGCATAAGAGGTGTAGGCGGCGGTGTATCCCAGGTCATAGCCACTCTTGGCGGAATAAGGGACGTTGTTGAGGCCGCTGGCGTGGTACTGGTAGGAACCCATGTGCGGGTAGGGCGAGCCCCCCCCGCCGCCTCCGCCCACCGGGTGCTGCTGGTTGGTGTAGTAGCTGCTGTCTGTAGCCGTGGACACCGGGAGGGTCGGCGACTCCTGGGGCTTGTGGAGGCTGCTGCCGTTGCTGCTGCCGGAGCCCGCGCCGCCGCCGCTCGGGGGCTGCTGGTGCTGGTGGTACGTGCTGGAGGCCGTGATCTGGGTCGAGTGCATATCAGCCACCAGACTGTCAAAGACTCCAGTCATCCTGGCCCGGGACGGGGAAGAGCAGGGGTGGCGGGCCGAGCGGGGAAGCGAGGCGCCTCCTCCGTCTCTCCCGGGCCCCTCCAGCAGCCAATGTAATTACGGGGTGGGTAGGTGGGCAGGAAAACGAGAACTGTGGCAACGGTCTAGGCAACTCCTCCTCCGGGGGAGGCGATCACCGCGCACTGCTCGGGACCGCGGCGGCCGGCCGCATCCTCTCTCCGCCTCTCGGCCCCTCGGCAGCTTGCCCAACGTAGGCTCGGGCGGG